TTTTTAATAAGTGCCTATGTATAGAAACTAGCTGCAAGCTAATAAGTATGCATATCTGCAAGAAAAAATGTATTACTGTGTTATCTGTATCACATGATTGTTTTTTTTATGTTGTTACCTCAGAGCTGACCTGTACACTTTTTTATGTTGCACATTGTATTGGACCGTCCACTAGCCACTTTAGGCTATCGGTCCAAATAATCCCTGTAATTGCATATATCTATTTATGAAAATAAAGCTTCATTGATTGATTGATTGATTGATTGACTGAGAGTTGGGTCTAAGGTACAGAATTGTTGTATTGGAACACCTGTTTGCCACGCAAACTGTGTGCCTTCCATCCTCACTTGGACCCGAAAAGCAGTATCATGTATTTTATTTTCACCTTGCTTACTTTTCCGGTCACGGACAATATCAAGATTTTTCCCACAATAGCAACAATATGCCCAAGCCCAGGCCAGAATTTCCGCGTATACGGCGGTTCTTAATGCTTTCGCGTTAAAACGTGAAAGAGACAAGACCTTGGAACAAAAATACATATAATACCACAGAGACTAATTACACTATTCGATATTATGAAGAATCAGCGTCCACATTGTTGTGCGCGCTTGTACTTGTGGCCGCACGACTAATGTCTCTCGTTTAAGGGCATGAGTCAGTGTGGGTTGGATAGGTGAAGAGGAAAGCGGGTTGGCGGATGAACAGTTTTTGTTTTGGAATGCTCTAGTGGACTCTTCCATTTTTTGCACATAATTTTGAGGGCGCCAGTTCGCCCATAATAAACTAGCTTTTGGTGTTTCTTCTCTTGAACCCTTTACAATAAGATGTTTCTATTTTTTCTTCTTTACTTGCAGTGAAGCTTGTTAGAAGAAGCGTTGCATGTGTGTTTTCTTCCTTGGTCCCATCTTTCGCGCTTTTGTTTGAGCACTATGCCTTTTTTTTATCGTTAAGGTTATGAACTTTCGCGAACATTGTACTGCAATCTTAAGAGAGAGCGAGAGAACATAAGGAGAAAGGCAGGGAGCTTAACCAGGGCTGAGACCCGGTAGGCTACCCTGCACTGCGGAAAGGGAGAGGGGGCAGGAAAGTTATAGAGGAGGAGAAAAAAGGTCACTGACTGGGCCGACTCCTAACAGTTTCACATCACAAACGATGAAACAGGCCGGTGTCTTTGAGAAAACGCAACAGTGCTTTCGTTGCCTTTCGGAATAGGTATAGGCAGTGCCATGGTCGCAATACTTCCTCGACAGTGAAATCACTTCCGTCCAGATGATTTAAGACACTGCGCAGGTGAAGCCTTTCGGTTGTGTATGCCAGGCAGTAACATAAGAGGTGTTCAATAGTCTCATCGACGGCGCAGTCGTTGCACTCCGCGCTGTCGGCCATCCCAATCTAAAATGAGTAGGCATTGGTGAAGGCTACGCCCAAACACAGATGGCACAAAACTGTATACCTTCCTGCCGAGAAAGACCAGAGGGTCAATATCTATATATACACTAGTAGTGAAATGAGCCTAGACGGGCAAGTTTCTAATGCTGTTTTTATAATAATTACATCTAAGGACTTGACTGTGGTTTTATCTAAGGATAAGACCGTGGTTTGTCTGGTGACTGAAAAATATTGTCTGCAAAAACAAAACAAAAAATATGCTGGCTTCTTCCGTCATATGAGCGGGTATAGCACAAAAGGGAGATTCAACTACTCCTTACAGTAGTTGAATCTATACACTGCACATTGGTTCAAGATAGCTTGCACAATACTTAAAGGTGTTTGGCAGCTTCGGCCCAATATTTATTGATGTATAACGCCGTTACACGTTGATGCAATCGGTGGTTTGGGGGTAAATCTCGTGTAACAGCCATGATCAATCGTGTGGTAGCTGCAGCAGTTAACGGTGAAAGTGTTATGATACGAGCTGTATGTGACACCAAGACAGCGTCACCAACTGCTCGCAGAAGTTCCACTAAGGTCGCCAATGCACGGCTTTTTAAAGAACTTTTGAACACTGCAACCAGGCTATACAGTGAAACGCAACGCGCACCATCTAGCAAAGTTTTTTTTTTTTTTTCTCGGGGCCAGCATAAGGGGGCAACGCAGTGTCACGGCCATGTTCACAGGCGCATCTTTTTTTATCTTTCTCTCCGGTCACAGACAGATAAGGAGGCACGCGTCATTAAGCTATTCTAACATGATACGGTTAAAGGGCCAGCAAACAGGCTCCGACCACTGCGCCGAAGAATTTCTCCAGCGTGTTTGTGCTAAAGGGTTTGTGCAAATAGCACAACGCTACGGCTCTTTACGCTGTATTAAAAAGCTCGTTTCGCAGAAATTTCGATGTCGTCATTGGTTTCGGCGTTGTTGTTGGCGTCGTTTTCGGCAATGTTGTTGTCGTGGGCCGCGTTAGTTGTGGTTGGTTAACCATCATTTTGTCCATGAGAAAAATAGAGTAGAATGCAGATAGAATAAATGATAAACACTTCCGGGTTCCTTTAAGGGTTGAACCCAGATGCGCGGAAAGCAGATGCTCTACAACAAAGCCACGACGTTCATTGGAACTGTTTTGTAAAAAAAACGAAATATATAATTATCATGTAGTGGAAAGAGTCTGTTTTACGCCTCATCATATAGCATGCAGAAGCGTAAAAACGCGCCAGGCATAAAAAAAATGTGCATTGATAAATGAGTGCATGTTTTAAATCAACACTAAAGTCAAATAACACTTTACGTCAGAGTGAAATCTCACTGTATAACAATGTCTAAAACAAAATTTTCAAAAGCAGTTAGCGAGAATTAGAGTAATTTCAAGAGAACACATGTGCCATGAGTAGTACCTTCGCTAAATGATCCTGATGACGTCAAACTTACCGCTCACAATCATTCATTAGTACTCGAACCAGCTGCTCTAAATTAGGAACTCTACGTGCATCAACAGACGTGATAAAATGCTGGTGGTTCATTTCTATTTGATTAAAAAAAAAGAATCGCCGGCTGTTACTATGAGGAATGGGTTGAGTGGTTCAAAGTTGAATTTTCGCCTTGGTAAACAGGACAGGTCGTGCTATCTAGTGTAGCCCATTCAAACCAAGCGCGATTACCATCTTGGAAGTCAGGTCCGAAAATTCTTCAATGACCGTTGCAGCTGCTATGACACCCACTTCTTTCCCTCTGCTGCGACTAGTGTCGGCGGGTCGGCGGCCGCGCAGTAAAACCAGGCAACGCTGTGCAGGACGACACTGATGTGAAATGGCCACTGTGACACTGGAAGTTTGGAGTGCGCTAACGCAATGCATACCGCAAAAAAGTGATTTTCTCTCAAAATAAGCACTTCCTTGCACAAAAGTAGCGCTACCAGGTTTCTGGCCCACAATTTCGGCAATCAGCACCGACCTAATGTTTGCAACTATTGTCTCTTTAAAGGCCCACCCCTTACAAAGCAATCAGGCATATTTAATCAGCAGTAGCAGCAGAACAATGAACTAAGCCAACAGATGCATAGGTCTCCGTGTTTCCCTACGGACACAAAGTGGACCCTTCGCTGATTCGCGAAAGAAATACTTACGGCGTAGTGGGCTCTTAATAACTGTGCTTGCAATAAATCTTCAATGACGATTTGAAAGGGCCAATGTGACGCTCAGAGTCATGCGGCATGGTTGAGGCATGCACCGAGATCCAGTGCAGGTTACCAATCCAGAGGACAATGCGCAAGAGGCTTGATTAGACCATGGGCATTTACGCTGGAAGGCTATAGCCTCAGGCATCCGCCTATGTTTTTTTAAAGACACTGTTCTTTCTTGGGGACCTTCGACGCAAAAATTTTGGTCTGTCTGTCTGTCTGTCTGTCTGTCTGTCTGTCTGTCTGTCTGTCTGTCCGTCTGTCAGTCTGTCTGTCTGTCTGCCTGCCTGCCTGTCTGTCTGTCTGTCTGTCTGTCTGTCTGTTTGTCTGTCTGTCTGTCTGTCTGTCTGTTTGTTGGTCTGTCTGTCTGTCTGTTTGTTTGTTTGTCTGTCTGCCTGTCTGTACATTTGTCTGTTTTTCCGCTTTTAACGGCATCGTGTACTTGAAATATATCTGGATGAATGCTGTGAGTGGCACGGATGGATGGATGGACGGGTGTATCCGGCAGTGTCGTTTAGATCGGGTGGTGGCTCACGCCACCTTGCCATAAAGTGAAGTAGTATCACTGTGTGTTTAAGGATTGAATTTCACTCGCGCCTCGATTGTAGCCATCAATCAGTTAGCCTCCTCCTAGTGATATCTACCCGTTCAAAATCTATTTTGCCCTCACTGTCCCTAAACCCCAATGCTTTGAAAAATTCGGCGCCATTATATTCGACTATAGGGTGGAAACCTTTACAGAACATTATCAAATATTCAGCTATGTCCTCCTCCTTTGCACGCACTACGTAACGTGTCTGTGTCTTCGTATTTTGCTCGCTATGTCTTGGTCTGCAATACACCCGTTCTAGCCTCGAAGAGCTGAGAACTACCCCGACAATTATCGTATATAGATCTTTTCTCTCGCAATTTCCTGCTTTAAAGTTCGGTATGTCTCCAGTGATGATTTCGTAAGCATTCCCATGTTCCACATGTCCCTCTCTGTTTCCTTCACCTTCATCTTAACCAATATTTCCTTTTGGCGGAAGTTTTTGTTGAGGTTGCCCCCTTGCGGTTTGTCAGTTCACTGAAAAAAAATCGCAGTTGTCTTATTGGCAATGCGCTTAATGGGATTGATGCATAGCAAAAACGCGTTGCAGAAGGCCATGGTCATAGTGCAGCACTTCACTTTGCCAATCCTAGAAGGCAACAAAGATCACTGTGAAGAAAGTTGGAGACATAAAAGGTGCATTTATAAAGCACCTGGGATGTGCGACATAATTTTGTGGCATTGTGCCTATGCGTTAAAGAAAAAGAATTGATCGTAGTACGTAGCGTGCCCAGCTATTGTTTTCGTTAATGGTGGGCATTCCTCTTTACACTCGTTTTTCTAATTTTACTAGGCAGAAGCGTCTTGTGTTAGATTTTATTAAGGATGTTAGTACCAAATTACAGAGCTGCAGTAGTATCCATCACCTCTTGGCACACATTCGCATGTAGGATAGTCGCAAGGGGCATTGAGTCCTTCTCCTCTGCAAGGCTAGAATGGTAGAAAAATTTTCGTAGTTAATAACGCTCCAGTATCAATTTATTTATAAGCGCATCAGTCACTACCACAGTGAAGATCTATTTTGTTACAAGACTCAAAGTCTCATATGAAGAACATAGCACGTGGGCATATCAATACACAAAAATGAACGTTTCCTGCTTACCTTTCCAGCAGTTACAAAAATATAAACCTATAACAGTCACATTAGCGTGTTCAGTCTAACTATCGGCCATAAAAGACGAAAAAGATATACACGCATGTGCAATAGTTTGTCTCTTCGCTAGTAGAACGAACATGTCTAATGAGCACATTGATTATAGTATGGCTGTCTTTATTGATACGAGTGTCAAATATTTTAAAGCTTACATTCTACAAAAGGACAAATATTTCATTGTTAAAAAAGTAAAAGAAACCACCACGTAAGTAGTACCTATAGTACATGAAATCGAAATTCTGGCAATTATGAGTAAATCCTAACATTTATTTCCAGATGTTTACTTTATCTTGAAAGAAATTAACAAATTGAGACTCAGATATTTGTAGGCTTTAGGTAAGTCTAGATCATTTCATTCAGTAACAACACGATGAAAGAAACAATTAGGGTCGTTATTTGAAAAAAAAAACTTTTTATCTATGTTACTTTCGGCTACGACGTTTTTCTCATTGAACCGCTAGAATTGTCCTTCTTTCGTTCTGAACCTCGGCATTTTGAAGATTTCCATGTTTTGTTCTTTTTAGTATGCCAGACAAGACTCTACATAGTGGCCAAACTTGGTTGATATTGGCACGCTATATATCTGTGACCGTTTTGACGTACAAATAGTATGTAGCTGTTGCCAGAAACAAGAGGCGCATTTGTGCACAACGTGCACAATGAACAACGGAAATAGCGTTTAGTTTGTTTCTTCTGGAATATGCAAATAGCTGGATAAAAGTGTTGCTATGCTTATAGTCAAAACTCTTTGTGGGTCACCACCGCAATAAAGGTAGTGCGTAAAGCTGATAGCGGAGTAAAACATCATCAGAGGCGGGCGAGTGGTGCCGTAAGCCAGTTTGCAATAAGCCTCTGCTGTAGGCGTGTCCACAAACCTTCTTGTTGGCAATACCTGGTCAAAAAACATGACCACCAACCACTCCGAAAGGATGGCTATCAAACTAAGCTAAAACGTGTGGTCCCTGTGTTTATTACAGTGTTGATAATATTGATTTACGTCTTTATAGAAATGTTATTAGGTATTTGCCACCTGTGGTTTTTTATATTAGGGAAAAGAAAATTTGTTTAATTTATCGCGCGCACAATTTCATGCCATGCACTTGTTGATTTGGCCGACTTAATTTGGGTGTACATTGTAATGAAATGAAAAATAATTGAAGTATACGCGATGGGCTTACGTAGAAGTTTTAAGACGGGGCTAACACAGCGGTAAAAAGCGCCTATACAAGAAGTGTATGACGTTCGCGTGCATATATGAAGATGTCGCGACTACTAGACAACGCAAGAAACTATGTACACTACCTTCGTTCAGCCAGTAACTCCCAGGTGACTACTACGCTCGATCTCTCGGCTCATTACTGGCTTATCTCACACGTTACTGAGCTAAACGCTATGCTAGTAAAAGTGTGCAGCTATCTCCTAAAGAATACAGTGGTCTTGTACTGCACTTTAAATTTAAAAAAAAAGCCATGGAAGACTTGAAGCACTGCCGGTAACCATGCACAAAATGAAAATGCGAGAACGACTGCAAAAGTGATGCATACCCGTCTGTCACATTGTCGATTGCCAAATAGGCCATAGGGTCCCTCAGGTGCACTTGAGACTTTCCTGCGCGGAAAGGAGAAAGTACTATGATGTTTCCCTGCATCGCATATTTGGTTGGTCACTCAACACTGAATTAGTTAAGTAGTTCAGGAAACTACAAATAATTTCAAGTGCGCAATCTTGGCACCTGTTCCTTTCCGACTGCAAAAGTCGATGTTTTGGGGATCGTAGCTGCAGCCATGTTTATTAGGGAGCGGATACGCATAGATTTACCGACTGCGAGATTCTACGGGTGGCCGGAATACAGAGATACCAGCAAAACATCGTTAGTAGTTCCGTTGAAGAGTACTGCAGGCGACCACTTTTGATTCCCTACATAGATGGCCTAAAAGCTTCCCTCAAAAGGCGCTCGAAACTTGCAGTTCACCACTCAAGCGAAAGGTCGCACGAAAAGAACACAGGACGAGTGCGAACTATAGCGACCGTCACAGCTTGACAGATAAAATCGCAAAACCCCGCAAAGTTTGCACAGTTTGGCGATGGCTGTTTTTTTAATTATATATATATATATATATATATATATATATATATATATATATTTATATATATATATATATATATATATATATATATATATATATAATAACTTCTCCTATGTATTTCTTCGATTATGTGTAAGATGGCGTCGAGAACACTCGAGACTCTCCTTTTATTGACTCGAGTATGTGCCCCACAACCTAAACTTGACTGGTGATGATGAGTATTTACAGATGAAAAGATGGGACGCATAAATAATGCTCACACTTATTTTCCCCGCGCACTTGAGCGGCCGGCCCGGCCGAGACTTAGGCGGGAAAGGTACGGCGCAGAAAGGGTTTAAGACGTGAAACGTGGACAATCTCGGAGGCACGGTAACGACGGTCCGAGGAACCCTCGACGGGAGTGACAAGGTAATTGACCGGAGATGTTCTTTCACAAACAACGTAAGGTCCTAGAAAGCGAGACTGAAACTTTTCACACAATCCGGGTGTGCGAACAGGCGTCCAAAGTAGTACTTCATCTCCAGGACGGAAGGTGACGTCTCGACGAAAGCTGTCATAGCGTTGCTTGCGGTCTTCTTGACTGGCCTCCGTGTTGAGTTGAGCACGTTGCCGTGCCTCAGCAAGCCTTGAGACGAAATGTTCTGTCGTAGTCGTCGACGTTTTTGTCATTGCATTGAAGAAAGAGGCGTCAATGGTGAATGTCGGCGCACGACCATAGACGAGGAAGAAAGGTGAATACCCGGTGGTTCGTTGAACAGCGGTGTTGTGTGCGAATGTTACGAATGGCAAGATTTTGTCCCAATTATCGTGGTTCGGTCCGATGTACATGGATATCATGTCGATTAGAGTCCGGTGGAATCGCTCTGTCAGCCCATTTGTCTGCGGGTGGTAAGCGGATGTGGTCTTATGAAGTGTGCCACAAGTTTTTAGAATTTCGTCAAGAATTGTCGACATGAAGGCCTTGCCCCGGTCACTCAACAACGTGCGAGGTGCGCCATGACGCAACACAATGGCTTCTAAAAAGAAGGCGGCAACGTCTGAGGCGGAGCTAGTGCGTAGAGGAGCGGTCTCCGCGTATCGTGTGAGGTGGTCGACGGCTGTGACGATCCAGCGGTGGCCCGCTGGCGTTACGGGAAGTGGCCCGACGAGGTCTATTCCGACAACGGCAAAAGGTGTGTCGGGACATGGAATAGGTTGTAATAAGCCAGCAGGAGCTGAAGTTGGTCGTTTCCGGCGTTGACAAAGTGCGCAAGAAGCGACATAATTAGCCACAAAAGTAGAAAGACCAGGCCAGAAGAAACGGCTCCTAACGCGGTTGTAGGTCTTTTGAAATCCCAAGTGTCCAGCTGATGGGTCGTCGTGCAATGCTTCGAGAACTTGTTTTCGCAGCGAACGGGGAAGTACTGGCACCCACCGATGCCCATCCGCATTGTAAGTATAGTGTTGCAGGACATTGTTCTCTAGCTTGAACAGCCGTAGCTGACGACGTAGTCTGGCATTAGGGGGAGAAGGCGAGCCATTCAAGTATCCGATGATGCGGTTACAGTAGGGGTCGTCACGTTGGTACGCGGCAAACTGGGCGCTGTTGTTTAAAGGTAGCAACCCAGCAACTGCCAGGGGTGATAACGTGAGTGAACAGGAAGCCACTTGATCACCTGAGGGGCATTCGGGATGCGTGGTTGGAGATGAAAGTGGCAGAGGGCAGCGAGAGAGAGCGTCAGCATCCTGATGCTGTTTGCCGGACCTGTACACAACGTCAAAAGTGTACTCTTGCAAACGCAGTATCCAGCGACCGAGGCGCCCAGACAAATTCTTCAGCGAGGACAACCAGCATAGGGCATGGTGGTCGGTAACCACAGTAAAGTGGCGTCCATACAGATAAGGTCGAAATTTCTGGATGGCCCAAACGACAGCGAGACATTCCTGCTCTGTTATCGAGTAGTTTTGCTCTGCAGGTGTTAGTGCGCGGCTGGCATACGCAACTACTCTCTCACGTGAAGTGTCGTCGCGCTGGAGGAGGACAGCACCGATTCCGTGGCCGCTGGCATCTGTGTGCAGGAAAGTGGGTGCACTCTCATCGAAGTGACGGAGGACGGGGTCTGATGTCAAAGCACGCTTAAGGGCTTGGAAAGCACACTCGCACTCGTCAGTCCACGTGAAATCCGTCCCTGACGTCAGAAGCTTGTGTAACGGCCCCGCAATGGCAGCAAAGTGACGGATGAAGCGGCGGAAGTAAGACGCCAGGCCTACGAAACTTCGCAATTGTTTTTGATTGCGCGGACGTGGAAAACTAATTACGGCAGCAACCTTGTCGGGGTCGGGTCGAACGCCGTCTTTGCTGACAAGGTGACCCAATACTTTGATGCTTGTGCTGGCGAAGTGGCACTTTTTTGTATTCAGCTGTAGGCCAGCGTTCGAAATGCACGTTAGAACTTCGTCCAAACGCTTAAGGTGCTGAGAAAAAGTAGAAGAATAAATGACGATGTCGTCTAAATAACATAAACAGGTTTTCCATTTGAGACCACGTAAGACAGTATCTATCATGCGCTCAAATGTTGCTGGAGCGTTGCATAAGCCAAAGGGCATGACGTTAAATTCGTAAAGCCCGTCAGGCGTCGCAAACGCTGTTTTCTCCTTGTCTGCTTCGCGCATAGGTATTTGCCAATACCCGCATCGGAGGTCGAGGCTGGAGAAATATTCTGCGCCTTGTAGGGAGTCCAGGGCATCATCTATGCGTGGCAACGGATATACGTCTTTTTTCGTGATCTTATTGAGTGCTCTGTAATCAACACAAAAGCGGACAGAGCCATCCTTTTTCTGGACCAACACCACAGGAGACGACCAGGAGCTGGATGAAGGTCGAATAATATCCCGTTTGAGCATGTCGGCGACGTTTGTCTCGATGATTTGCCGTTCAGCCGAAGAGAGACGGTATGGGCGGCGGCGTACAATGGAGCTGCCTTCGGTTTCGATGCTGTGCTCTGCAACGGAGGTGCGGCCCAGAACTTTGCAATGTACATCAAACGAAAGGCTGTGCTTTTGGAGAAGGTCTAAGAGGTCTCTCTTTTGCTCGGCAGTGAGGTGAGGACTTATGGTGTCATTTAAGGTAACAGTGGTAGCCTTGATATCAGTAGTAGCAGACAAAGGCGGTGATTCTGCGTGAAGGGGAATCAGTGAAAAGGACTCACTGTCAGCGAAGCAGCTCACAGCAGTGCCCTGGGGCAGCATCACTGGCGAAGAAGTTGGATTCAAGGCGGTGACCAATGCTTTACCGTCGTTAAACCGCACAAGGCCGGGTGCTATGGTAAGCCCCGCAGGTTTCGAGCGAACTGATGGAGCTATGAACACGTCACCATTAACTATAGTATCCGAAGCGATCGTTAGAAGTTGTTCATCTCCTGGCGAAATGAAACAATCAGTAGCAGCAATGAAACGGAAGCTGTATGGATCGACATCCGATGAACTCTCAGTGGCTGACATTCGAATGACTCGCTGACGACACGATATGAAAGCTGATGCCGAAGAAAGGAAGTCCCATCCTAAAATTACTGTGTGAGTGCACAAAGGAAGTACAAGAAACTGAATGTGGTGAATGATGCCATCTATGAAAACACGGACTGTGCAAACACTTGAAGGCTGAATAGGGACTCCATCTGCGCAACGAAGGGGAGGACCATCGTAGGGCGTCCTAACTTTTTTTCAATCGGGCACAAAAGTCTGCACGAATTACGGAATGTGATGCGCCTGTGTCCACCAGTGCCTCTGTCTGTATACCTTCAACATACACCAATAAAACATTCGATGGGCGGTCCGGAGGAGTTTGACGCAGTTCGAAAGATGCAGCTTTCCCTCCCGAAGCTGCACTGTTCAGTTTTCCAGTTGGCGGTCGGGAATTGAAGTAGAAGGTCGGAGAGGAGAAGAAGAACGCCGCATCGGTGAAGGTGAGCGACGACGTGAGAACCGGGAACTGCCAACTGGGTGAAAGTTCTGCGGAGACGGCGACCGACGTGTGCTGTTCGGATACAGCCGACGATAGGGGGGTCCAGTCGCGTAGAAGTCGTCCCGTTCAAGGTTATCGTAGCCTCGTCGTTCGTCTTGCTGACGGCGTCGGCAAAACCTTGAAATATGACCACGGATGCCGCAATAGAAGCAAGTCGGCCGCGAACTGCGCCAGGCGTTGTAAGGCTGGGAAGATGGTCGCGGTGCGAGTGAGTTGAGCGAACCATGTACTTCGGGCGCTGGTAGCTGCATTGGGCTTTGCTGGGGTGCAGGCGTCCTAGCAGCAACCTGAGCATACGTTGGCATGGCCACAGGATATGAGCTCGGGACAGGTGTGACAGTCATCGAGGCCAGGCTCTGGTGGGGCGTAGGTGTCGTTGCAGCAACGTGAGCATAACTGGGCATGGAATGTGAACTCGGAGCTGGTGTACTAGTCATCAAGGCCAGTTCCTCCCTCACGACATCGCGCAAACTAGTGGCGGGTGGCGTCGTTCGGATGTCGAGGTGGCGAGGTGAAGCCTG